ACAGTTGGCTGACCGCCAAAATGCATGAATAAACGAAGAGGGATGTTCCAGCAAGGGAGATAATTCCCATCCCGTCCCCACGATCTTCTGTACCGCAACAGCACCATTCCACAGCGCGCCATGTTCGTCAACAAAGTATATTAATATACCTAACATACAATGAGTTAATTTATTGCCCTCATTTACTTCATCTTTCGCCCTGCTATTATAACTATTGTATTTCGCCGGAACTTGATGATAAAACTACTAATGTCGGCTCCTATTTGATAACAAAAAAAAAAAGAAAAAAAAAATGCAAAAAACCTCGTCTCTTGAAATCAACTCGTTACTGTGCGTCAAACCAGACATTAAACCGCGTTTCTTGAGCCAAAATATTGCAGCAAAACTTCCAGAGAAAAATATTCCTTAAAGAAAAAAACTGAACTATAGTGCACATAAAATAGTTGCTTCTCAAATTTTCCAAATATTTTCCACTTTTCAAAACGAACCATACTTTCTTTACTGAGAAAGTAAGGAAGTGTCAACTTCCTCACTCTGCCTTTTATTCGTCGATTACGAAAAAGCATTCGATAGCGATCAGGAGTCTGTTATTCGGGAAAACAATTCCGTAAAGCACTGATATTTTGGGCAAAGCAAGTGCCAAAAATTTGCTGAAATGTGAATTGGAAATAATGCATAATAGTGAATGGGTACCTTCAACAGCAGCAAAAGCGATCAGTCGTTCAGCGTACGAAGCTTTCTCATCGGCTATCCAGTTTAAAGCCCACTGAGCTTTTTTCTTGATAAATTCAAATTTGTAAATTGCATTGAACAAAATATTCCTGAAAATCATGAATTCCTAAACGAATTGAAGTGCTGGCTTCGAAATTCTATGGACATGCAAGGACCGGGAATAATAAAGCACCTACGCAACCTTGATTTAAACAGCGCCATCACGTACGTGTACGTGAGTGCGTAGCGTCCTATTCTCTCTATACGATGGTTCAACTCTAACAGTACCCATAGAATCAACTCACTGACGATTCTTTGATTTTTTTAAGGTTAAATTATGTTCATGTGCCTAATACACTGAAGAGTCTACGGGGTGCATTCCTCGCTGAGATCTGAAGGCGTCCTGTACTGGGTTCGGAGTCGCATGTGAGTTTCGGGAACGTTCCTCGGCAGCAATTGGCTTTCGAAATTCGACTCGTTTTCAGCCTAGGCCAAAAAAACGGTACCTGAGCCATCCTCACAATACTTCCCAAGTAGCCCTCAGCCTAGTCAACAGCGTACCGGAACAAAAATGCGTTTTTTTGCATAGTTTCTTCGCAGGTTTTTTGTCGTTAACGGCATTGTTTTTTTTTTCGGCAGATAATTCTAGCGAAAAGAATTGAGACTGGCCATCATGACTTTCAAAAACATTCCCTTAAAATTTCAGCTTTTCTGGTTCCCGAGTTAACAATTTTCTCGCTAACCCGTCAATGATATAGCTCACAAGCAAAACATACTTTTC